TCGAATTTTTTCGTTTTTTTCTCTAGTTTGCTAGTTTAAAGAGATTAACTAAAAATTACGCAAAATTACACGTTAATTCATCCATATGGCTTGTAGAGCAAGTCATCAGCTATACTATGAAAAAAAAAAATTTTGCGCTCGATAATATTTGAACAGTACATATTGCATTTACCTAGAATAAACGAGTATTTCCCTAAAAATCGTATGTTTTACAGGATTTTTACTCTATAAATAAAATTAGTCATTATTCATTATTAATTGTTATACGATTACATTGATATATAAATATGAATATTTTAGTTTTATACATATAAAAAATAATTATGCCATTGATAAATTCATGTCTGAAAATGAATCATTTAAATGACTATTTAATTCATCTTCTTTATAGTTGTCATCATTATGAGGGAATATTACTAACATCTTACCATCTTCTGTTAACTCTTTTAAATGCACTTGCTTATTTCTACCAATACTAGAAATGTAAGGATCCGATGAGATAAGAAGTATGTGAATTAAATCCTCGTTAGTATTTAAGCGCGAATTCTTTCTGGTGTGATGTTATCGGTACATTTTATAATCTTTATTGCAACTCTCTTGTGCCTCCTCAGATAAGTTGCCTAAAATAAATGTTGATATTCTTTATTATAGTAACTATAATCTTTTGTGATATTACCTATAGGAAGTGGCGCATATTGAATAATATGAGCACCGTGTAACAAAATTTTATACACTGACGCCGGCATATAGTACCACGGATACAATGATACAAAAAATTTAGCTGTTAAAAAGCAATATTCTTCAAAGGCCTTTATAATTATTGTATATCCGCTCGCTATTACCGATAAAATTGTTCCAAAGCGCTTAATTAAATTAATATCAATTCCAGTACAGGAGGATGATATCTCAGCGTTTTTAAAAATTTTCCTTGCAGTATTGCCATCGTTCGTAGTTCCATGTCCTATTATTGGACAATAATGAATATATATTAGACAATATTAAATTGTATAGAATGAATTATTTTTTAAATGTTTTAAAATTCTAATATTAAATTAGACTAAAGTACCACATACCTTATGACACAATATCTACTAATAGTCCCATTTCAGACCTACATTTATTTTGAATATGTTGTTTACGAACACTATACAAATCTTTGTTTACAGCCTTAACCTTTACAATTAGAAGAAAATAAACTGCCAGTGAATAGTATATTTTATAATTTTTTTATTTTTACCTGCCAAGTTTTAATTTCTAATCTATACGACAGATGAATAAAATACTCAAAAAAACGTATCCACGCATGCAACGTTGACAATCCATACTTATAATTTTCTGTTATGCATGGTCGATATTTAACTGCCTCAATGTCATTCATTTCGGTTGGTTTACATCCACAAATAAAACATTTTTGGCTAAATATTTCAGTCAAAGAATTACATACCTATAAAACTTTTATTGATCTATATAATTAGATTACTTATTTCTTAAAAAATATTGATCATTAAATTTTTTGTTTGAAATTTTTTTTTCTGTGATTGAATAATATAATCATTACTAATAAAAGTACACAATAAATTTTAGATACTTATAATAAAGTTTAATATTAACCTTTCCATCAACCATAGAAAAAATAAGCGTATGTTTTACTTCAAAGTATTCGTCATTGAATAATACATATGTAGTATTTAATTTGCTTATTTGTTTTTCAATTTCTTTTACCTCCTCTTTNACTTATTTGTTTTTAAATTTCTTCTACCTCCTCTTTGGTACCTCAATTGTTTCTTTCATAAATTTGTATTTAATAGGTCTACAAAATCTAGTAGAGGAAGGTATAGAATTTTTCCAAATTACGTCACTACTATCATTGCTATCATCACTACAGCATATAAGTTCAAGTGGCACAAGAGAGAATATGAACATTGTTTGGTCAGTTGTACAAGGGTTGTCATTAAATTTTTGTTTACATTTGACCTGACCACTACTTCCGTCGCAGCCCCATTTATAGAACATTTCTAATAACTTTTTGCCAATTTTTATCTCCTTGATAGATGGTATTTGAAAAATTCTTTTAGTTGTGTGATCTAAAAGATTCTGCAAGGGTATTATGCAACCAGATTCACTAATTTTAACATTATCGGGATAACATTTTTGTTTAGCACTAAAAATTTTTTCATAAGATGGATAATCCACTATGGTTTTATGGTATTCAAATCTGGGGCTATGCCGCTCCATCCAACATCCAAAAAATCCAATCCTTTCAATCCATTTGCCTACGAACACTCACCAATTCCCCTTGGTACGTCCCTAATAAAACTCTCCATTCAGATCTTCAAATTAGTTATGTTAACAATATTGCCAAAACTGCTTACCTTAAACTTCATAACAAATTAAACTCTCACCCAAACCCTAATATCCAATACCTCTATTCAAAACACATCCCCGACAATCCGCCAAGAAGATTAAAAAGAAAATGGTGTAGAGACCTCCTATAGAAAAAAAAAAGATGGATAAATAGCGCAATTCCTCTTTTTAGCTCCTAAATTATATTCATATACTGTTGTTTTGTAAGTTGATTGTCTACAATAAATGCTAAAGCTTCATCAGCAGTATAAGAAATAGGTTCTTTGTTACAAGAATCTTCCATTGCCATTTTCATTTGGGGGACACTATTAGGAGACAACAGTAGTTTATTAAATAAAGCAGCTTCATTTCTTTTTCCAGACACAAATAACTTTTTTTTTGCTGTACATAAAATTTCAGTTGACGTCATTGATGTCATAGTTAATTTTTCGCCGCATTGTTCGTTCTGAACATTCAATTAAATCAACCAAAGGTCGGCCCTGTATTGTTTTAGTAGATTTTTTTTTAATAGAAGGCATTTTAAATGGTATAGTAAGCCATTCTGAATAATTTTTCAAAAACCTTTCATGGTGACAACTAACCTTAGTCCATCTTCTAGAAGTAGCCAACAAAATACTAATATACTTTTTTCAACTTTTTTAATAAAATGAGTACTCCAATTTGCTCCATTATATTTTGCTTTAAAAAATCAAAAATTACTGCCCGTGAATTATTGTTTGTTATGTTTTTTAAACTAATACCATTTTTTTTGATGAATTCAATCAGTTGTTGATTTGAAAAAAAAATGGATGATGAACAATCAGAAACTAAAATAAATGTATAAATTTAATATTGTTAAAAATTATAATATCGAAATTAAAAAAGGTTTAATCT